CACACACACGTGCACACATGCATGCCACACTCACATGGACACACCACACACCTTCACACACACATGCACATACATGTGCACACATGCACACCACACACTCACATGGACACACCACACACACCTTCACACACACGCATGCACAACACATGCACACATGCCACACACTCACACATCACACTCACATACACCACACTCACACACACGCACACAACCCTCTCACACATTCCTTGGAGGGTTCAGCCTGTGGGCTTCCGGGTTCCACGGACTGCCCTGGGGTACCAGGCTCTCTGGAAGGTCAAGGAGAGGCCCAAGTGCCACAGAGCCAAAAGGGCAGCCGTGCAGCCGACAGGGGCAGGGCAATAGGGACTGGTGGGGTCTGCGGCTAACAGGGAAGGGCATACCCCAACCTGCTTGGCTCCTTCCAACTTGGACAGGGCATTTGGACCCAGGATGGGCAAACCTTTTTGGTTTTTAAAAAATACGAAATTAATTTTTTGTTCACTGTCTCTGTTTTTAAACACACTGGCTACTCCTCTGAGGGCTGGGCAATGACTCCATCAGCAGGCAGCCGTCCCCAGGGGCGGACAGACTCAGATTTCTGCTTTAGAATCAACTCTTGCCCCACGCTGGCCTCTGCTCTCCCGCCCCTCGCCACCAGGAAACAGGTTACTGGTTGCCCAGGGTGGTGTGGGGGGGTGCCTCCCTCCCCCACAGCCCAGACCCCTCCTGAGGCCTCTCAGGTCCTGTGAGGAACAGACTGACCAGCAGAGGGAGCGCCAGACACGGGTTTCCTCAACCCCCAGCTCAGGTTGCAAAGACTGACCTGCAGGGCTGGTCCCGCATGCTGGGGCCCAGGGATTTTGTTCCCATAAGACGGCAGCCTGGGTCTGGGCGCAGAGGCTGAGGCAGGGGAACAGGGAGGGGAGGCAATGCTGAGTGTCTGAGTATTGCCAGCCCCTCCGTGTCTTGTCGAGGGCAGTGGTGTTCAAGGGTAGGATTCTGGCCTTCCGTGCCACAGACCCAGGTTTGCTCCTGTCTG